GCTTCCCTTCTCATGACATTGCAGGGGCCTCACACTACATGCCCATTCAGCCGCGATATCCCGTTCCTGCCGATCCACCTCTAGACGTACGTACCGGTCGCCGCCCATCCGGCTCAAGCCGTTCGCCTTCTCCTCGTCGCAGATCCATTTCTCCAATGTTACGTCGCAACAGCCCACCGCGAGGGAAAACTGACGGGCGCAGTTCCGGAGGCAAGAACTGCGTTGGCAGCGAAACTTTCAAGGCCTAACTGCTGTCCCCCGAACGAAATCGAACTCTATATTGATGGCATAAAGGTGCACGGACTTGTTGACACTGGAGCTGCCGTATCTGTAATTAGCGAGAAACTGTGCCGAAACTTGAAGAAAGTGACCACGCAACTTACCGACCTATCTTTGCAGACAGCTACGTCCCATCATATTCAGCCTTCAGCTGTGCGCACTGCACGAGTCGTCATTCAAGGTGCGATGTACGTCGTCTCATTTGTAGTTTTATTCCGTTCTTCGCATGACGTTATCCTTGGATAGGACTTTCTTTCGTCAAATTCTGCTTTGGTCGACTGTGCTCGTTCCGAACTCGCATTATCTGTGCCGTGCTATGACCCCGACGATGGCGCTTCGTGTAGAGTGTTTGCTGCTTCTGACGTTGACATTGCGCCTTTCTCAGCTGTTGTTGTCTCGGTGTCGTGTGCCTCCCCCCCGAAATCGCCTGTGTTGTTTATGCCATCGGTCCCATCTGCGTGCCGTCGAAATATCATGCTTCCGTTTGCCGTCGTCATTTTTCGCAATGGTCACGCTGCCATTTATGTGTGCAATCCCTCGGACAGCCCGTCATCCTTACTACGTGGAGAATGCCTGGGAAGCTACGAACCTTGCGAGTGCATTTTTCCGGCTACTATACCCGATTCAACGGTTTCGCTCCCAATTTGTGCTGTCACTCCTACCAACGCGCCTAATGATGCTCTGGACGTATTCTCGGATGCCATCGACTCTGAGCTCGCACCAACTCAGCGCGAAGAGATTATAAATCTTCTTCTCCGCTTTCGTTCTTCATTCGATCGTGACCAGTCAGGCTTAAGCCGAACCTCTGCGGTCGTTCACCGTATTGACACCGGTCAACAAGCCCCACTAAAGCAGCGTCCGTACCGTGTGTCATCTGCTGAACGCCGTGTCATCGATGAACAAGTGGACGACATGTTGAAACGTGGCATCATCGAGCCCTCCAACAGTCCCTGGGCTTCACCGGTTGTTCTCGTCAAGAAAAAAGACGGATCCATCCGGTTCTGCGTTGACTACCGCCGACTCAACAAGATAACGCGCAAAGACGTATACCCTCTGCCGTGCATCGATGATGCTTTGGACTGCCTACAAGGAGCAGAGTTCTTTTCTTCGTTAGATTTACGCTCCGGCTACTGGCAGGTGCCCATGGCAGAGGGTGACCGCCCGAAGACAGCCTTTGTAACACCGGATGGACTATATGAATTCACCGTTATGCCCTTTGGCCTCTGCAATGCGCCTGCCACTTTCGAAAGAATGATGGATACCGTCTTGCGAGGTATGAAATGGAAAACGTGCCTCTGTTATTTGGACGACATTGTGGTATTTTCAAGCGACTTTGCGACCCACCTCAGCCGCCTCGAGCAAGTTCTTACGTGCCTTTCAACGGCGAGACTTCAACTTAACTTGAAGAAATGCCACTTCGGCGCTCGCAAGCTTGTAATTCTCGGCCATGTGGTTTCTAAGGACGGCATTCTCCCGGACCCTACGAAACTTAATGCAGTCGCGGCGTTCCCAAAGCCAACCACCGTCAAAGAGCTTCGAAGCTTCATCGGCCTATGTTCTTACTTCCGGCGCTACGTCCGCAATTTCGCCTCCATTATCGCCCCCTTGACCAATCTTCCTGCCGGAAGGTCTGATTTGTCAGCGTGGTCGCAGGCGTGTGATGATGCATTTCAGGAACTCCGACGGCTTCTCACCACGCCTCCCATACTCCGACATTTCGATCCATCTGCTCCAACGGAGCTTCATACAGACGCTAGTGGTGTCGGGCTAGGGGCCATACTGGCCCAACGCAAGGATGGCTTTGACGAGTTTGTCGTTGCCTATGCCAGCCGCACCCTCAGTAAAGCCGAGAAGAATTACAGTGTAACTGAAAAGGAGTGCCTTGCCATTATTTGGGCAATTGGAAAATTTCGGCCTTATTTATATGGACGTCCGTTTGATATTGTAACAGACCACCATGCGCTTTGCTGGTTATCTTCACTAAAAGATCCTAATGGTCGGCTCGCTCGTTGGGCATTGCGGTTACAGGAGTTCGATATCCGTGTTGTCTACCGTTCTGGCCGTAAGCATTCCGACGCCGATGCCCTGTCACGTTCGCCATTGGCTTCAGAACCTGTCGGCTCGCCTATCTCCACCAGTGCTGCCTTGGCCATCAGCATTTCGGACATGCCTTCCGAGCAACGCAAAGATGCTTGGATTTCTTCTCTTTTGGACTTGCTCTCAAACCGGACGCCCGCTCCAGTTTCCAGGACGCTTCGCCGTCAAGCAGGACACTTCGCTATTCGGGATAACCTGCTTTACCGCCGAAACTACAGTTCGATGGGTCGTAAGTGGTTGCTCGTCATTCCCCGACATCTGCGCTCTGACATCTGTGCCACATTCCACGATGATCCGCAATGTGGCCACGCTGGTGTGTTAAAAACATACACTCACTTGCAGCTGCGGTACTACTGGCGCGGTATGTACCGTTTCGTTCGCCGTTACGTAAGGTCTTGCCTTACGTGCCAGCAACGCAAAATGCCCACTCAGCATGCCACAGGTCCCTTGCAACCGTTGCCATGTCCAGCACGAGCTTTCGATCGTGTCGGAATCGACCTTTACGGTCCGCTTCCCTATACTTCGAGTAGCAACCGCTGGGTCATTGTCGCTATCGACCACCTAACGCGGTATGCTGAAACAGCTGCGTTACCTTCTGCTACCGCAAAAGACGTTGCGTGTTTTATACTGCAAAACCTGGTTTTAAGGCATGGAGCACCTCGAGAGTTACTAAGCGACCGCGGCCGCGTTTTTCTCTCCGATGCTATCAAAGCGTTGTTGAGCGAGTGTCGCATCATACACCGCACTACCACAGCCTATCATCCGCAAACTAATGGGATGACAGAGCGTTTTAATCGTACACTTGGGGATATGCTGGCCAAGTACGCTTCATCCGACCAGTCAAATTGGGATAGCATACTGCCTTTTGTGACATATGCTTACAACACTGCAACGTAAAGCACCACTGGATTTTCGCCTTTCTTTCTTCTTTATGGACGCGAGCCATCATCAACAATGGATACTATTCTTCCTTATCGACCGGACCCTTCAGAGATGACTACCGTTTCTCGAGCAGCAGCACACGCTGAAGAATGTCGGAAGCTTGCTCGTGCGTTCACGTCACATGACCAGATGCACCAAAAACATCGCCACGACGCATCAGCCACGCCTATGAGCTTTGCACCGAACTCACTGGTGTGGTTATGGATTCCTTCTACTCCTCCAGGACTCTCCCACAAGCTTTCGTCCAGGTACCATGGCCCTTATCGAGTTATACGCCAAACATCCCCTGTCAACTACCTGGTCGAGCCGCTGGATGCATCTCCGGACAAGCGCCGTCGGGGACAAGAAATTGTACACATTTCTCGGCTCAAGCCATACCATGACCCTTCTGTGTACACCTGTCCTTAGGTCGCCAGGATGGCTCCCTCATCGCCCGGGGGTGATTGTAACGAGGGCAGTGGGCATGGAGCTCGAATATAGAAAAGGAAGAAGACTTGCTGTGATCGCAGGCTTGCGTTCAGTTAGCCCTTGCGCTCAATAAAGCTTTCGTTCACCGAGTCAACTCCTGCTGGTTCAACACCCCATTTCACTGCGAATATACCCAAGCATGAGGTCGGCGTTATTTATGACGCCGACCGCATGCCGCATATTGTCATATAAAGTCTGGCTTGATTAGAATTTGATAGGCCCTAGCAGGCACTGCCCCTGATTACACCACCACCTACACACCACGTGCACACACATACACACACACACACACGTACACCATCTTGGTGGTTCGGTGTGGGAATTTCGAAGTGGTGTCACCACCTATCTTTTCTGTCAATGGCTTTTGTGGTTTATGAGGCACCTTTTTGCAGCAAGAGGGGCTTCCTTAGTATGACGCCTTCAGCGGTGGTGACTACGTTTGTGTACGTAACTTGTTTATGCCAACTTGTGGCCAAAAGAGAGCAGGATACAGTGTTCATTAGATGAATTTAACCTTCTGCATAGTCAGTATGACTTGACTTTACTTCCATGTGCTACAAATGACTAGAGTCGATCACTTTTGCTATTTATTTTTTACATTTTAAGTAAACGCACGCATCGAGTTCATTAACTCCAAGAAACAGTCCTTTCACAACTCTATGTGCCTTTCAGCGTTCCCCATCTCCTCAACATTCGCCACAATGTCAACATTCAACTGATCGTCATCTTCCCGACCTGTTTGTTCGGTCGCAGGTATGTGTGCTTGCTGCTACTCCTCCTCGCACAGTGAGGAGGAACACTTGGCCAGGAAGAAGGACAAACAGACTGGAGCACAGCGTAGGAAGGAGCGAAACGAGCCAGTGTGTTTTTTGTATCATCAAACGCACATAACTATGCTATCACAGCACTGTTTTTAACAATTAACACAGCTACAGGTTCGCTGTACACTCATGCGCAACTGGCACATCACAACTAAATTTTTAGCTCTGGGTCATTTAAGGGCTTAAGAATTTCTGCCACATGAGTATTCATTATTTAAATCACACTTTTCAAAAAATAAACCTGTTTAAAATGTCAATAGTTCGGGTATATAAGTGCAATGTTGGTAAAGGTATGAAATTGAATACCACAAAGAGAACTACAGTTCAACTCGCACATGGTTGAATGGGAGTTGTAACAGTTGACAAGCTCTATACAAAATTCAGTATGCTCACAGGTCTTGAGTAATGTGTCCCAGTCTGTCTGAAAAGCCTCCCATGAAAGACCGCTTCAAGTTTCGATGCTGCGGGAATGAAGGCATAAGTTCTGCTTCACAGGCTGGAAAGTAACAAGAGCAAGCATCTTAATATAACACACAAATTAAGCGAAGCTTTTCAATTAATAATTTGATATGTTATACATCTACTCTGCATTTTAGTGTTTGTCTTACTATCTCTTTATATGTATACTGCACTGCAGTGTACAACTCATAAATTAAAAAGTGAAAATTTAAGACTAAGTATTGCCCATACTATTGTTTCCGCTATCTTCAATTCCTGTCGTATTTGAGCAATTTCAACAAAAACACTCACATCATAGTCAGCATCACCTTTACCGGCCTGATTTGCAGCGACCTGATGCAGTTATCTCAGACAACAGCATGTACCAGTCATTATATTAAACACTTTGATGCCAAGTTTTAATCCGTGAGGACTGTACATAACTGTATAAGCCTTGTCAGAAGAATAGGCAAACCATGCTTACGCAAGGGAGGTTCAGAGAAATAGGAACTTTGGAGTGCCTCCTCGGCAGTGGCTCTGTCAATGAAATATATTAAAAAATTAATAAGGCACTACACACCCTCAAATAGATTTCAGCATTCCCTCCAAATACAGAACTGGAATGAACACTCCTGCTGTTACAAAAAAAGCAATTTTGCACACATTGAACAAGACTTCACATGATACAATGAGAGGTAATTTTATGCATACCTGCACAAATGCAGCAACAAGGATAAAATTATGACACAAGACTTTGTGCTAGCATCTTTAGCTCTTATACAAGGCTGATTTATTCAAGCAATTTACATAAATGTGTAATCAAACACACTCATAAATTCCAAACAATCTTGAATTTCCAAGATAACTAAGATAAAACAAAAATACAGGAAAGCCTGCCACATTAAAAAAAAGTGTTTTTTGATATTAACTTTTGGTATTCCTAGAATTAAGCAGCCAAACTATTAAAACTAGAAAAAGTCCCAAGAAACTTCTGTGAAAGAAGTAACATTTCCATATAAATTTTTTTTTAATCTGGAAAGTAAAAATTGTTGGAAGATTAGCTGCCAATTGTTTAAAAATTATTATAAAAACAATCAAGTACTCTTTCAACATAGAAAATTTACATTAGATGTAATGGCCAAAGAACTCAAGGCACTAATCTTTCTAAAACAAGGTTTTATTACGCCATAAAAAGCACGGATCGCCACCGTCAGCTTCAGGCAATCTAAGGGGTCTATAATGCAGCGGTAGATATGTACTCCCTGCCTGTTTTGACGTGGGAGCGGCCCGTAGGAGATTCGGGGCGAAACTCAACTCTCCTCCCGCTGTTCTCAATGAAGTAATTTATCTATCTACCTATAAAACGCAGTGAAATATTCCAATCTTTGCTTGGCCTTTTTTTTTTTTAGAAAAAAAAATATATATTCAGAGCATAATGTTGTATATACCGAAATGTGAGGTTCTGATGGCCATTTTAAAGCGACATTTAGGAAAAGCAACAGTGATTACAGACTACATAGTAAAAATTAATAAAAGTAACAATAAAAATGAAAAAAACTTGATTTCCTCAACATAACTAAACTCTGAAGACGCCACATTGACATTGGAGTCATCAGTGCATGTAGGGACTGAGAGATTGCTAGTAAGCAGCATCAAAATGAAGCGAGAACTGCTCTTTATAGAGCATGCACGGTTTCATGTGTGAGGCCATTCAACAGCTCGTTGCTTCAGCCTTTCAATTCACACACTCCTTAAAAATTTCAACAATGACATAAAAATATCAACCGTGCAGATATGACGACTGTAGTCAGTATACTATTGCCAAGATGGTGCTACAAGCACAGATGCGCGGTATACTTAAAACAAGCCCACAAGAACATCATTCACTATTGATCAATGCCTAGTGCCGCAGTAAGGAAAATGTTAAGGTACTGATATAAACATGCCAACATTAACAGTATAACGGATTTTTTCTCCGGCCTTTGAACTTCACTAAAGCTTTTGAGCAGAGGGGAATTCCTTGGAAATATCGTCTTTTTAGAGTGTCCAAATTGTTAAGTGCTAAGCACATGCTTAAAATTAACCCTTTATATTCTAGCGTTCACATGTGGACAAAACATACCAGTGTAGAGTGATCGATGCATTGCCTTGAAAATAGCTTTGAAATGTTGGTATTGCTTCAAAATTTTCTAAAAAAACATATATATCTGTTCCTGTCTGTGAACAAAAACAGTACGTGTGCACAGAAAAATTTGCATTCTTCACAAGCTACCAGTATAGATGTATCCCCACTTTTTTTCTTATATCATCATAATCATTCTCAGCCTGTGCTAGTCCACTGCAGGACAAATGCCTCTCCCAATGATCTCCAATTTACCCTATCCTGTAAAGCTGATTCCATTTGACCCCTGCAAACTTCTCAATTGCGTCGCTCCATTTAACTCTCTGTCTTCCCCTACTATGTTTTCCATCCCTTGGTAACAAATTTGTTGTTATTACTGTCCATCAGTTGTCTGTTCTAGGCATTATGTAACCAGTCAAGGTCCATTTTTTTCGCTTGATGTCAGCTAGGATATCTGCAACTCCCGTGTGTTCTCCTAACCATTCAGCCATCCTCCTATCTCTCAATGTTATTCCAATCATTCTGCGTTACATTGCAAGCTGCGTGGTCCTCAGCTTTCATTCTAGCTGTTTTTTCATTCCTCATGTTTCAGCCTCATACATCAGAATTGGCAGTATGCAGTCGTTGTATCCTATAATGATAGCAGAAGATTTCTTGACTTTATGTGAGAGTGCCTGCCAAATGCACTGAAATCCATTCTTATTAGATGCGAAGCAGCTCTTTGACTAGCCTGTGTAATGCTGTCCCACCTTCCGTAGCGCGCTCTCCTGGCCGCAGGTGTTGGGGCGGTGCCAAGTACCTAGGTCACGCCTTCCCTCGCAGTGCGCGCGCGTTGACGTCACTTTCTTCCTAGCCTGTGCACGTGCAGCCGCAGTGCCCTAGCCACAGTGCGCGCACGTTAACGTCACTTTTTCCCTAGTTTCGACACACACAAAACTATCCCCCCTCTCCCCCACTCGCCTCGCAAGGCCGTCTACTAGTAAAAAACCGACTGCTCGCTACGCACAGCCGTTCACTGGTCACCCCGTATATGTAGGCACTGGATCGCGCATTCGGAATTCAGTCAAGGGCATCTTAGCTTTCGCTTGATGAGCGCCAGAGTCACCGTCGCCGCCAGTGTAAGCATTAGCACCTACTACTTCGCATCTACACATGGTTCCTTTTAGCGGGAGATGGTCCAATTTTTCTTTGGTGAATGTCTCTTTTGTGATTAGGTTCTCTCGTGAGTAGTTGTCCTAGGTATACATATTCCTGAATACACTCCAATTTATGATTTGTGATTTTGAATTCTATTTCGCCAGGCCATTGAATATTATGTTTGTTTTTGCTATATTCATTTTGAGGCCTACCTTCATACCTTGTAAGTTTAATTACTCAACCATTTTTTGCTATTCGTTGCCATCGCTACTCAAGAGCACAATGTCATCTGCAAATCGTAGGTTGTGAAGCCATTCTCAACTTTGATGATCCTCGTTTCCTCCCATGCAGTCTAGCTCTAGCTGTTTAAGCACTTCCTCCTTGCATGCTGTGAACAACATTGAGGATATAGTATCTTCTTATTTTACTTATCTTACTCCTTTGTTGATCTCAATTTTATTGCTTTTCTTGTGAAGAATTAAGATAGCAGTGGAGTCTTTGTGGATGTCTGCTAAGGTATTGACATAATAATTAGGCACCCCATGTTAATTTAATGCTTTTAAAAGTGCAGATATCTCTACTTAGTTGTATGCCTTTTTGTAGCCTCTGAAGGCTAAGTAAAGGGCTTTGTTGTATACAGCAGTTTTCTCCATTACCTAATTTGACATTATTGTGATCTATTATATAGCCTTTCCTGAACGCAGCTGGTTCTTTAAGTTTGTTGAAGTCAACTGTTTCTCTCATCCTGTTTGAGATTACTAGTGTAAACATTTTGTATATTACAAAAATAGGTTGATGAGCCTGTGTAATTCTTTAGGTCTTTGATGTCTCCTTTCTTATGTATTGGTATAAAGTCGGCATTTTTCCAGCTCGCTGAAACAGTTGCCTTCAGTTCCTTTCAGTGAAGTTCTCCTGCGTCTTTAATAGATTGACTGTTTATTCCATGATCACCAGCTGCCTTCCCACGTGGCATATGTCCCATATAGCCTTTCTAATTTCGTCAGTAGTTATATATGGCACTTCTGTATCTTTCTCATTGCTACTTTCAGTCGAGGTAAGATGAATTATTTTCGTGTATATAGTTCAGCGTAAAACTCCTCTGCCACCCGAACTCTCATTGAAGTTGTTCATAATTTTTCCCTGCTTGTCCTTGAAAGCATGCAGTTTTGATGCCGGTTCCCTTTTTTACTGCTGTTTCTAACGCATTTACGCCGCAGTTTCATATTTCATAGACTTCCTTCTTGTTGGTAAGCATTGTCAGCTTAACAAACTCTATTTCAGACATGAAGTTAGTCTCCCTCATGTGTTGCCCTTTCTTTACAAAGTTCTTAGTAGATTGGAAAAGCTTGCAAAGTTTTTGCATCGGCGCTTTACCTCCAACTTCGATAGCTGCTTCAGATATCAATATAGTTACCATTTCGTTCATCTCTTCGATCTCAGCATTATCCTCTTCTCTTAAAGCTGCGTATTTGTTTTTGATCTTAATCTGAAAATATTCCAATTTTACTTTAACTGCTTCTTGATTGGGTTGTCTTTTAGTAGCTAATCTTGCTCGAGATCTCAAATTAAGCATTATTTTCGCCCTTACTGACATATGGTCATTACCCTTCACCTGGTTTATGACATCAATGTTGTGTATTATGCATGGGATTTCTCATAGGATAAACCTATCTCGTTTTAGGGGCAAAGCTCCTAAAGCCGTGGGTCTGCCCTCCTAGCTCGTCATGGTTCGTGACCGCCTAGTTCGATGAATCACTCAGCAGGTGCGAACAGACAGATGGACGGACGGACGAATGCACGGCGGACAGACGGATACAGAGACAGACGAACAGAAGCACGGGCGCTTTGCCCCACTCATCATCATTCACTCCGTGGATATGCTGTGATTTTTTCGCTGTTTGTCCGCCAGGGCTTTTTCATGTTCACCTCTTATTGTTACGCTATTGGAGAATGGTGTTCATTATGCGAAGCTTATCCCACTCTGTGAATTCTACTAACACCTCTCCTCTACTATTCCCAGAGTCAATACCATAATTACCAACTGCCCCTTCCCCATTTTGTTCTGTTCCTACTTTTGTATCGAATGCATGAAAGCAACGAAGCAGGTATTCAATTATAAATATGCACAATTTCACTCTACACACTCTAGACAGTATGGTGTAAACGCTCTTGATAAAACTTCAGCAGCCAGTCCAAAGCCACACTACATCTGGCATACATTTTGAATTGGCAGCATTACAATATACTTAAATAATTTTGTTTTACATTCTGTATAAATTGACGTCTCTTAGCATGGTTCAACTGGTAACATAAAAAGATAAATTGAACACAGATAGATTCGACTACTGATTGGCACATAAACATTTACTGTACAAGCATCACAAAAAAAAAATTTAGGAATAAGTTTTCTAAAAAGATGCTATTGGCCAGCGAATCCCCCTCTGTATCTCATTCTTTCTTTAGTTTCAACCTAATATGCTTAACTTTGGCTAAACATTTTGAAAAGGCCCTCCAAGCACCTATTTTTTATTCTTGAGTTACATAGACTGATCGCTGGGGATAATTCAAGTTGAAGTCAAAGTACCAAAATCAACAGATTATTTTAATAACACAATGAAAACACTACATCATTGCCGACCACATCAATGCACAGTGGCACTCACTGTAGCTATTGCATACAGATATGACAGAGGAGAGCGGAGCCCTTTAATTGAACAAACGAAATGTTGAAAGTGATCAAGACAGTGCACAAAAAAAAAAAGATTATTAATGTTTTTTTTTGCATGCTTTTCCGTTGCACACCAAATAGACACTATTGTAAAAAAGACTGCTACAAAACACAATAGAGCAGCCGACTGCTATGCATTTAGACCTCTGACTTTCTGCTTGTGCAGGTGGGATGTCCATATTAGACATTTCTCACTTTCTTTTCTTGCTTGTGTGCATTCACGAGCTGCCTCGTTTTGAGCCCACTGTATCTCCCTTTAAGTATTCAAGTTCAAGAAATTTTTGTTAGCAGTATATTCTATACTAACTATAAATGGTGCCATTAAAAAATTAAAAATAATAAATGTTAACAACACAGTAAAGGTGCTGCATACTGTGTTTGCCTGCTAGCATAGAAAAATATTGCACACGAGGTTAACGCAGAAGATTTTTTTTTTTTCTCACTTGTGTGCTCTCTTCAGCAACTTCTAGTTGTGTACTTCTAAGTATTATGGCATTCAAAAAGTGAAAGTCTTTCACCCCGACGCTTTATTGGGACCTCACCCTTTTGAAGTGCGGGGTGGAACATTGTGGTAATAACATGATCACTTCGCTAGATGAAATAGGCAACAATAATGGCTGAGTTTTCCCTACGTAGGACCATTCTGCTCACACCATTGGTGGCGCCTTGCAACATCAGTGGTGAGTAGAAAGTGGCATGTGACTCCATGAAAATGAAGTTGTGGGTAGGCATTTTTTTTTTTTGTTGGTTTTAGATTTCCTAGGCTGAATAAATAGCTTCAGAGTGTGGATCCCTATCGCTGTTGTTCTTGCTGCATCAATCGTTCCATCCTCGATTCTAAAGCACCCGCAAGTACAAAATGGGGATTGAATAGTGTTGCGGAGGGCTCTCTTGTAAATGATTTCCATTACCGTGTTTTCTTTTTGTTTTCTTTTTTTATGTAAACATAATACATCTGAGTGCTCTTTTATTTTAATTAATAGTATGAATTCCTGGTGTTTTACATCCCAAAACCACAATATGATCATGAAAGATGTCATAGTGGAGAGCTCCGAACCATCTGCGGTTCTTCAACATACAGCCAAATGTAAGAATACAGGCCTCTAGCATTTCACTTCCATCAAAATGCAGCTGCTGCAGCAGGGATTAAATTCCCCAAACTTCGTTTCACCAGTCAAGCACCCTAACCAGAAGACCAATGCAGCAAGTCACTCCTTGTTATTGTCCACCACTTCTAATATTCATAGTGCCAACTTCAATTACAGGGAACCGCTTACTCCTTGACCTTTGTAAACAGTAACAACAAATTCTAACATTCTTGGCCCAAAGTATTTATGACAGTGTGACCACATAACCACAAAGTGACCACTAAGTGGACATATCTAAGATTTTCATTTATTCATTTGTATTTTTCTTAATTCTGATCTCAGAGTACTCTCACCTTTTTTTTGGGTTATACATAAAGACGAAATTCAAAAGGCGAACGCCAGCTGGTGAGAGCCAGGGAAAGAAATGCTTCACGTTGTTGTACCTAAAAAAATTATGCAGTTCGGAATGACTTCAACAGTCTCAGGTACCTTTGATAACATAATTGAAACAAAATGCCATAATATAGCTTTGAAATGATAAAACATTTAAGCAATACAATGTTCACAATGCCATAATAGTGATTCACAAATGCACAGCATTTCCAAATTTAATCAAAACAGAGAACTCGAACAATCTTAGAATGAAGACATAAAATTTTTCAAATCCGGAACAAGTGAATGAGTATGTTTACAAGAAATTTACAACAAATGCCTATGTAGCACTTGAGTCGTGCTATGTCAATAGCATATTTTTATACATTTTTACTAGCTTACTGTAATTTTTGATGGGGGTCATGCTCCATTATTTGCCTCCTTTTTTGTCATTAAAAGAAAACAAAAAAAAACGTCACGAAAAACAACATGAGCAGGGGAAGGGGAAGGTCTCAATTGCAAGCTCAAACATCAGTCTTATAACGGCTTGGAGAGGCCAAACCCACGAGGGTAGAGTTTCCCACTAAGGCAACAGTCCAACTCAAAGGGGGAGTGCAAGTACTCTCAAAATTTTGCGTCATCAAAACAACTAGAAAAATCCATTTCCGCCAAAACAACTCTTGTATTTCTTCCTCGGACACGTCAATGGACAAGACGGCACAGCTGGCTGCCGCTAAAGCAAGGGTCAAAGTTTTGCTCGCGACTAGATTCTTTGGACAGGAACGCCGAAGTGCTTCTAGCTTTTCTTTTTTTGCGTCTTTACTGCCTCTAATCTACCACTGTGTTAGCCGCGTGCCCTCGGAACTCGTAGATCGCTATCGCGTCGCCGCGACCGTGGTTTTGTGTACCGCGGTTGCGGCAAACAAGGTAGTTCCGCTTTCAATCCACATGCGCTAGCTGCACAGGTGCCTTCAAAACTACCTAAGTTGTTTAATGCTATCTATGATCACATCTGCCGCGGTTTAGTCTACAGAGTTTGCGGAAAGCAGCGCTGCTTTGACTGGTCAAGCGTTGGACGTGCGCATACTTTCAGGGTAGTCTCAGTTAAGTCGTCACCATACATGATCGTTTCAAGAACTACCGCTGTTTTGTCCACAGCGGTTGTGGCAATCACAACCACACGCACTGTAAAAAAGTGCGTGCGCTGGCTCTGCGCATACTTCCGAAACTTCAAGCACGCTGCTCTGGCTTTTGTTCGACGGTTTCGGTACTAAAGTTTATATCACCCACCGCGAGATTAGGAAAACTGTTCGGAACATTCAAATCTTGGCCCAATGAACACTGAATTTGGCTGGAGAATTTCAAAAATTCGTATCTGCTGCAGTTTCGCATCACTGAGATTCTACTGTACGTTTAGACGAACGCCTCCTAAATTCGTTTATAAAAAAAATATGGTGGTTTTGCAAAAAGACTGGAGTGGATTGACCTGCATTTTTGTCAATGCGGCCAGATCACGCACAGAAATTTCAATTTCCGAGAGGTTTCCATGACAACTGTACAAACGGAAGAAACAGTCAAAATCCAGGAATCTCTCGAACAATCCGGAAGACTTGGCAGGTATGTGTGTGTGAAAAAAAGAGATGACATAAAATGTTGATAATGAGGACTTTTGGTAGAATATACAGAGAAAAAATTAGCACTTTCAATAAGTAAATTATTATAGACTTACATTAATGTAATAAACCAAGGCAAGGCACTTGAGCATCTAAGAGGGTCATACAGATAAATCGCGTTAAAATCACGTGATATGAGGCTTTAAGGGGGGACAAGGGTCATAAAATAACACAAAAATGTAAAAAAGGCTGACTTTCAAAAATTGAAATTTGAGGTATTTATAGACGAAAATGTGTTTTGGAAAAATATTATATTATGGCAAAATATCACTTTTTGTTAAAAGCTTAATATATGAAATTACAAATGTTTTTAAAACTGGAAACATAATTTTCTTGGCAGTGTTATTTTTGTGAACTAAACCTGCCTTACGGAAGTTTTGAGCAAGTTTCTGTGAAGATATCTAAACGAAATTGGTACCATTCTTTTCCGCAGCACTTGAACTACAGGCTAAAGCTTTTCTTTTCCTCTCAACTTTGATAGAATTGTAATTATATGATAAATACCAGCTAACTACTAGAAGCTCATTTTTACCTTCCAAGTTAAAGAACTATTTCTGATCCAAGAAATAGCAGTTCTGACATCTAGTTTGCTTTGGCGTGTGGTATGAACATTTTAGAAGAAACATGTAATTTGAAAACTAACTTTTTTTATAACAAGTTAAAATAACAACCTGTAAGAATTTACCTAATTATAATGTGGAACTTTGTCATTACTTTTTTTCTAAATGAGATATATGAAATAGATTTGCAGATTTGAAATCTCCATTCAATGGTGTGCATGCATGGTAATTTTCATGACATTAGAAAAATGAATAAAAAAGTTTTTTTCTAAGACCCTCGTCCCCCCTTAACTAAAATTCCATTGCCTCAACCAGCAGGTCACGTAATCTTGCTTTGCCTAATGAAGAATTAGTGCGCATATTTCAAATCTGGCGGCATATTTACGTTGCCACATGATCTCACAAGCCAATCACACACACTCGCAAGCTTACAGCTTTGCCCTCCAACAGTTTTTAAGACGTGTAACTGCAACAATTTTTATTTTATGTTTTACTCACCTTTTCTAGTGTATTAGTGTACAAAAATGTATAAGTAAAAAAAAATAATATTATTTTAAACAGGAGTACACAAGGCCTAAAACCAGAACCAGTATCATTTTATACAAGTAATGAAGATTCAATATAAATGGCCTAGCCAGCCTTATTCTTCAAAAAATAATATTAATAAATAATAATACTATATGTATTTGACTATGTCAATAGCATGCATGTTCGCACACACACACACACACATACACACACACACACACACACACACAACACACACACACACACAAAGTGGTCATTTGGTCATTTCAAGTTCCTGCATAGCATTCAAAGGGGTGCCAGATCCAATGATAATGTTTGCAAAATAATCATAAACTATACAGTGATACACTTTAGGAACCACTTACGGCTGCTGCTTGAGGGTGAAATTCTCCAGTGCTGACAGCTTCGAATACCCCTGATATCAACATGAAAAAGGGAAAGGAAGAAAGGCCGCCCTGCATTACTTATTGCTAAATTTTGCACTCAAGAGGAGAATAACACTACCAATTCTAATGACACAAAAAAAAACGTAAAACACAAATACGTCCACAGAAATCAGCACGTGAATTCTGAAGTATACCAAGTAAAATAATATACACCCCACAATGTAACAGCGACAGTGGAACTCCTAGCCAAGTACCAAACCTCAAACAGTACAAACAAGCTACCAAAAGCAGGCAGAAAAGCAATTCAGATTTTAAACGCCACGAAGTTCATTGTGAGAAAATGAGAAAAACCTGGTGTACTGTCCCGACAATCATTGTCCCCAATGACACAACTATCAAAAATCAAATCCTAACAGTGAGGGTGACTTTGCATGGAGAGACAGCCAAGAATAACCAAAGCCTGCCTGCATTAGGGCTGGACTCAACAATGCAGAATTCAGATAATGGCTAGAAAAAAAAAAGATGAGAGAAACCATCTCTATAATTATAATTCTTAGATACAAATACACTTTTATGTTAAACATCTTATGCTACTACCTTTTCCGATTTAAAAGTGTTAACGCTACCTAAAGGTGCGAGGCCAAGTGAAGGAAACATCTTTTTAAAAAGCAATAATCACTAAAAATTATTAGCCTGCAACATAAAACACATATTTTAGACAGATGTGAGTCTTATTAGGTAAGTCATATTTTATATTATTTCATAGTTAAAATTTTCATTAAAAATATGCCTTGTGCAGGCACTCCTAACTCGTGTTCTACTCATTAAAAAATTTCCTTTTTTTTTGCAGGCACATATAAAAAGCTTTGGCCAATTCCATTAACCAAAACAAATGAGATCTGATGAATAGTAAAAACATAGTAATTGAATAGCCAAAAAGTATGCACTAACACTAGAGGCACCTTCTCATAACAAGCAGCCATATTAAATCTTGTGGCACGATTTTGCTCATTCAGGTTTATTGCATGCCTACAAATGTGATAAGAAACTGTGCCAAGTTTTAATGCAAAATGTTAATTAGCAAAATAACGACAACTGTTCGCATAAGAAAAAATGTCAGAAACATATGTGTTGAGAAAATCAACAAAACAGATTTGAAACGGGCGTAGTGCTTACACAAGAGACTTGGGAGGGCTAAAATTCTCAATATTAGAAGCCAGTTCCATCGTGGGTCTTACTATTGTGTGCCTCTTCTCTGGCGGCAACTCCAAATTTTTTTTTTTTTCAAACTTGTTTTGCAGCAACAGTGACATGACTAGGTGCTTTCACGCTACGGTGCTGATCATGCACTCGATTGATGATTGATATATGGGGTTTAACGTCCCAAAACCACCACATGATTATGAGAGACGCCGTAGTGTAGGGCTCCGGGAATTTCGACCACCTGGGGTTCTTCAACATGCACCCAAATCTGAGCAGACGGGCCTACAACATTTCCGCCTCCATCGGAAATTCAGCGGCCGCAGCCGGGATTCGATCCCGCGACCTGCGGGTCAGCAGCCGAGTACTTTAGCCACTAGACTAAGCTTGTGCGAATATTCGAATGCTTCAAATATTCAAACGAATAGGTGAGTATTCAAATTCACTTCGATTCTAACTTAAATTATCGAATATTTTCGAAGTATTCGCAATAAACAAATAAATGTACGTTAGTCCGCCTAAAGGTGGTTTTACTGCAACGTTGTGGTGCAAAACCGTGAAAGCACCTACTCAGGAGAAATTTGCTTTTCCGCGAAGCCCCCCTTCAGATTAGAAAGGGCCCTGCAACACTTACTGAGCATGATCAGAAAACGCTGCCGATCGGTAGTCGAGGCTACCGAAAACACGCGAGGCAAGTATTATAGCGCAGCACGCGCCCTGAAATTCACAATCAATTTTCAAAGCTAAACATTGCTCTCTTCCCGCGGCAAATGACACTACAAGCTCAAAAATCACTTGTCACAGCCAAGAAAGAAAATACGGCCCTGGTCACAGTCATTGGCTGATTTGAGCATGGCGCGCTCGTCGTTACCGGACCGCCGCTTGTTCACAAGTACGTGCACAATCGCACTGAAAGCCCGCATATTCGAAGAAAAAACAGAAAGAAAAAATGCTCAAGGTCACTAGGTGCTCGTGATGTTTTTTTCTTTCCCCGTGCCATCCTTCCCTTCTTAGCTTCCAGCTCTTTTGATGGGTCGAGAATGGAGAATGCAATTGCAGCATGCGACAAAATTTTGGAACTCCGCTCGTACTGGACTGATTCTAGAAACTTTGCGGCGGTAAATTTGTGAGGCGACAAGCATGTTTACTGGCTCCATGGATACTTGAAAAAGTGTTGCAGGGCCCCTTTTTACTCTCAAATCAACCCTTCATTTTATTAGGCTTGATATGATGGTTTATATGATTTAAGTATAATAAATTTTAAAACGTTATGTATCTTACAGGTTATCACTCGGATCCCACCGAAACTACTAATCAAGGTTGTTTCGACTTCCTTTCAACGAAAAAAAAAGGCATTTGCACAGAGCCCCTATTTCAATTCAAAAGAAATATTGTGCAGATTAGTTAGGTTATGATAAATATTCCCTTTTTTATATGTTATACATACTATTCGAATTCTATTCGAAATTATTCGACCAAAATCACTATTCGCTTCGACCCTGAAATTCACTATTCGCACAAGCCTACACTGGACCACCGCGGCCGGGCCTGATCAAGCACTCCTAACTTGGGTTCTACTCATTAAAAAATTTCCTTTTTTTTTGCAAGCACATATAAAAATCTTTGGCCAGTACAATGAACCAAAACAAATGAGATCTGATGAATAGTAAAAACATAGTAATTGAATAACCATAAAGTATGCACTAACACTAGAGGCACCTTCTTATAATAGGCAGCCATATTAAATCTTGTGGCACGATTTTGCTCATTGAGGTTCATTGCATGCCCACAAAGGTGATACGAAACTGTGCCAAGTTTTAATGCAAAATGTTAAATTAGCAAAAGAGCTACAACTGTTCGCATAAGAAAAAATGTCATAAACATACGTGTTGAGAAAATCAACAAAACAGATTTGAAACCGACGTAGTGCTTATACAAGATACTTGGGAGGGCTAGAATTCTCAATATTAGTAGCCAGTTCCATCGTGGGCCTTACTGTAGTGTGCTTCTTCTCTGGTGGCAACTCCAATTTTTTTTTTTTTTTTTCGAACTTGTTTTGCAGCAACAGTGACATGACTAGGTGCTCTCACGCTTCGGTGCTGATCGTTTGTAAGGCACGCTTTTCCAGTGTAGAGGCAGGCTCGATCTCAATTTGTTTAAAAATATCAAATGTGCTTTTGTTGCCATTATTGAAATCATGCACATTATTAAAGTAAATATGATAGTATACAGGCTCACATAAGTGCCCTTGAGCGTGAAAAACACATCCATTACCTGATGAAAAGATTATGACTTTTATGACTAAAGATGATGTGTGGACAGTGCTTTTAGAGCATTATTACAAGTTTGCTCTTTATACGAGTGCTAAATAATCAACAAAATACTACATATTGTAACGTGGAAAATAACAGTAGTCAGGCTACAGCCTCAGCGCAGCTGACCGACAACGTCCACTCCTTCACTTTCAGTCTGAGGTACCTTTTTTGGGTATGTCCCACTATGCCCTGTTTCAGTCAGCTTAAATCACGTAACAATATCAAGCTCATCCTATGATTGACGCGAAATTGGCATTTTCAGTTTCAGTTTCGTAGGTGATAGGTGGTCGAACATTTTTGCTTGTATCTTTGGAAAGAAACTGCATAGATAGAAGGTCTATGCAGTAAAATTATGGGTAATAAATTGGTCATTTTGCATAACCAAAATTAGAAAATGACATTTTGAGAAAAAATCCACTTTTTCCTCTTGGCCTCATACCTTAATGACGTCACAATACTGTGAGTAGGACTGGCAAAGCTATGATGAATGAATAAAAGAAGCCAGTGAAAAAAAAAAAAGAAAGCCTGCCAACGCACTCACACTCCGATGACACCTTTTAGCAGATGAAAAATATTGAGTATGAAATCTACCCAATAAATAGCTTCTTCACGGTGCACAATTCATACGAATCTGCCAATTCAGTGTTCAAGCTAACCTATTCAAGCTACCTTTTGTTTCGGCCTAGCATTAACAAAAAGTCTCCAACTACTCAAACGCTATTCTAAAAAAATATTTGGTATCTTCAAAACATACTTCGTTATATAAGCCAATTTGCTATGAAAGTCATACAGCACAACGCAAATTACAGAGGCATAATGCAAGGTTTCTTTTGTTATACAGGCCATATCATTGTAGAGGCATCTATAGTAGTGGTGGACGCCAATAAAATAAAAACTTTTACTACGTAACTCTATGTGGTTCTATAATTGTACTATGTACATAGGTCCACGTAGATGTCATAATTATTTTTATGGCAAAAGACTACAACAGCTATGTGGCATGCCACAGGCTGGCATGGTTGCATTGAGGCAATACTGCTACTGTGAGAGACTAAGGGATGACAAGTAGTTGTACAATAAATGTTCTATGCAGGTCAAATTTAACATTCAATTGAGATATGCACTGCTTGCTTTACTCCATTAATGATACCGTTTGTTTTTTAAAAGGGTGCTGACACGAAATTTTTTTTTTATTCGATGAAATACAAAGCCCATATGAGCATAGAAAATGTACCCATATGCATCAGCATGCCCTGAAAAATTAACTATAATAGGTTCTATAAGCTAGTTTCAGTTCCAACTGTACAGTGACATCACGATACAGTATAAGTTTCTCATCACTTGCTCACAGGTGATTCGCAATTTCGCCGCGTTGTTCTGTGGCTCTGCTGGTGATGCCCAAGTGCCAATTTTGCATATTTTGGTATATTTTGCCCATTTTGCATATTTTGCCACAGATAAGACTTTTGGCTGCCTAAGACACTTAGAATTAAACATGTATAAATACTAGGTTTGTGCAAATATTCGAACGCTTCGATTAGATTTTACATTTCTGAAAATTTTAAAGTATTCGAAATGAAAAAATAAATGCATACAAGTCTGCATGTAGCCCTCATAAAGGTGGTTTCACTGCAGTCGAGTGGTTCTAAGCCATGAAAACATCCAGGGGAAATCTGTACTGCCGAGAAGCCCCACTTTAATGTTAAATTAACATACTAGCCGTGTCGTGTGGCCTTATCATGACCGTGACCATGTAACTTGTCGCGTGGACTTGTCGTTGTGTGTGAGAGTGGGTGCCGAGAGTTGTCGGAGTCTAGTAATTCAATTTGTGGTGAGTGATGCGAACACGACATATCTTTTGTATGAAGTTTTTTGCCTTTCCTCACTTTCTAGAACTAGAAATAATTCACTCATTACCTTTTCATCCACTATTTTACGTTATTAGGCTAACCGTAGATGTAATTACTAATACGTACAGCTGACTCCAGTCTGAGGGACACTGTCTACTTATACATACTTACCAGAGTTTTTAATTTGTATCCCAAAACGTCAGCAAAATAGGACACAGCCTTAAAGGCAGCGCCCGTCTATTCTTTAGCAGTTAAAAACTTTTTGCGTTTAATTTTCATGCACTCCAACCACCCACAATGTATATGCTCAACATAAGAAACACACGGAATTAGCTGATTAGTCGCAAAACAGGTGCGCGCAACTTGTCAGTTGACAAGAAACTTCAACGTAGGAGTGCAACCACTCATCAGCAAAACTCCGACATTGTGGACACTCTGAAGCCAACAATGTCAATATCGAGCGAGACGGGAAGAAGTTAGATCAAACGTGTGGAAAGAAGGGTCACCCAAGGCACTAATCCGGCCTAAGCTTGCAAGGTAAAAAGTTCGAAACCGTGCAGGGTGTTTGTTTTTTTGTTTTTTTTGAAAACAGATTTTCAAACAGTTAACAAAAGAAGGCGAGGCGAGCTACGAGTCAGGTGAAGTTGGGAGTTGATAGACGGTCAGGTGGTATTGATAAGAAAGTGCAACAGAACCCCCTACTTAGAGATAGCACAGGAGCCTAGCATGCCATGATGAAATTCGGCTCGAATAGAGATGTTGGACCATTCGCAATCATATATTTACTTAAAATGCGTGAGGAAGGAATCGTTAAAATAAGGAAAAAAAAAAGGTCTGGGGTGCGGCCTCACTGGCGACCAGCTGCCGGTAATGCACTCCCTCACCAGAGCAGAATTGGCCACCCTGGTGTAATACCTACCCACAACCTCCCATGAACAGAGCAATTAACACTTGGCCCTAGGTCCCCAGCGGCTGCGAAGCAACTGTCCAAGGCGGCGGTCAGACCTGTGGCGCAGAAGAGGGTGCTAAGAATCCCTTGAACAGGCCACCATTGGAATCTGAACTTGGCTACCTTCAATGCTAGAACGTTATCTAATGAGGCTAGTCGAGCTGTGCTATCCGAGGAATTAGAGGGTGTTCAATGGGAAGTAATAGGGCTCAGCGAAATTAGGAGGACACGTGAGGCTTATACAGTGCTGAAAAATGGACACATCTTATGCTACCGTGAATTAGTTGACAGAAAAAAATAGGGGCGGGGTTTCTCATACACAAGAATATTGCTGGCAACATATTGATTGATTTGTGGGGTTTAACGTTCCAAAACTACCATATGATTATGAGAGACGCTGTAGTGGAGGGCGCCAGAAATTTTGACCACCTGGGGTTCTCTAACGTGCACCCAAATCTGAGCACACGGGCCAAGAACATTTCCGCCTCCATCGGAAATGCAGCCGCCGCAGCCGGGATTCAATCCCGGGACATGCGGGTTAGCAGCCGAGTATCTTAGCCACTAGACCACCGCGGCGGGGCTCGCTGGCAACATAGAGAAATACTATAGCATCAGTGACAGGGTGGCAAGTATCAAAATCAAGTTTAACAAAAGGTACAAGATGAAGGTGGTACAAGCCTATGTGCCTACATCGAGCTATGATGATCATTGGGTTGAACGCTTGATTGATTGATTTGTGGGGTTTAACGTTTCAAAATCACCATATGATTATAAGAGACGCTGTAGTGGAGGGCTCTGGAAATTTCGACCAGCTGGGGTTCTTTAACGTGCACCCAAATCTGAGTACACGGGCCTACATTTCCGCCTCCATCGGAAATGCAGCCGCCACAACCGGGATTTGATCCCGCGACCTGCGGGCCAGCAGCCGAGTACCTTAGCCACTAGACCACCGTGGCGGGGCAGGGGGTTGAACGCTTCTATGAAGACGCAGAGTCACCCATTAATAAAGACACAGTATACTATTCTGATAGGCGACATTAATGCCAAAATAGGCAAGAAGCAGGCTGGAGACCGTGCAGTGAGAGAATATAGCACCAGCTTTAGAAATGCCAAAGGGGAGTTATTGTAGAGTTCGCAGAACGTAATAATTTCCGGATCTTGAATAATTTCTTCCGAAAACAGGCTAACCATTAGTGGAGGTGGCGAAGTTCTAATGGCGAAACTAAAAATGAAATATACTTCATTCTGTGTGCATACCCAGGCATTGTACAGAATGTAGAAGTAGTTGGCAAGATCAGATTCAGTGACCATGAAATTGAGCTCGTATAGACCTAGATTTAAAAAAGCAAAGACAAATACTGATACGCAAGAAGCCAATTAATCAACTGACAGAGGGAAAATACAGGAATTCAGAGTGTCGCTTCACAATCTATTCGAGGCTCTAAACAAGATAATCAACTTTAGCATTGGTACAGTGAACTATAAGCTTACTGTAAGTATAATCAAAGAGTGTGCAATTGAGGTTGTGAGGTTGGAGGCACAGTCACTAGACAGGAAGCTGACAAACTATCTCTAGAGACGAAAAATCTTATTAAGAGACGACAAACTATGAAAGCCGCAAATGCCATCGACAAAATAGAGCTAGTGAAGCTGTCAAAGTTAATCAATAGGCGTGAGGTAGCCAACATCAGAAGGTACAGCATGGAAAGAATTGAGCAGGCTGTAAAAAGTGGCAGAAGCCTAAAAGCTGCAAAGGCAGACTTGTGCATAGGCAAAAATCAGATGTGTCTATTGAGGAACAATGAAGGCAATGTCATAACCAATATAGACAGGATAGTCGAGATGGCAGAGGAGTTCTACCGAGAGTTGTACAGAAGTCAAAAGAAGGGTGATATTGTGAGAAACAATAATGGATCAGAAGAATTCGACATCCTACCAGTAACGACAGGGGAAGTAAGGAAAGTCCTAGAAGGAATGCAAAGCCACTGGTGAGGATAAGGTAACAACGGACCTCCTGAAAGGTGGCAGAAAAATTGTGTTAGAAAAATTGGCTACCTTGTATACGAAGTGTATCTTGACGGGAAGGGTACCAGAATCTAGGAAGAACACCAACATCAAACTAATCCATAAGAAAGGATACCAGAATCTTGAAAGAACGGCAACATCAAATTAATCCACAAAAAAGGAGCTTACCGTCCGTTCTCTTCAAACGATTTACAAAAATAATAGCTAATATCATTAAGGTGATATTAGAGTTCAATGAACCAAAGGACCAAGCAAAATTTCGTACCAGCTACTCCACAATAGACAAATGCGCTGAATACAACTAACCCCTATACATAGCTTTCATAGATTACAAGAAGGGGTTTGACTCTGTCGAGACATCAGCAGTAATGCAGGCACTACGGAATCAGGCCATCGAAGAACTTTACATAAAAATACTGGAAGAAATCTACGGAGCATCCACAGCCACCACAGTTCTCCATAAAGAAAGCGACAGAATCTCAATAAAGAAGGGTGTAAGGCAGGGAGATACGATCTCTCCCATACTATTCGCCGCATGTTTACAGTAGGTATTCAGGACCCTAGATTGGCAAGAGTTAGGGATAAGAGTTAATGGAGAGTACCTTAGTAACCTGCGATTCGCTGATGACATTGCCTTGATGAGTACCTCAGGGGACGAATCACAGCTCATGATTACTGAACTGAACACGTAAAACAGCAAGATAGGTCTGAAAATTAATATGCACAAACTGAAGCAATGTGCAACAGTCACGGCAGAAAACAGCACTTTGTGACAGGTGGAGAGACGCCGGATGTTCTTAAGAAATATGTCTACTTAGGACAGGTAGTAACCGTGTAGCCGATTCATGAGAGTGAAATAACTAGGAGAATAAGGATGGGGTGGATCACATTCAGCAAGCATTCTCAAATCATGAATGGTAATCTGCCACTAACCCTCCAGAGGAAGGTATATAACAACTGCATCTTGCCAGTACTTAGCTATGGAGCAGAAATCTGGAGGCTTACAAAGCGGGTTCAGATTAAATTGAGGACGATGCAGCGAGCGATGGAAAGGAAAATCATAGGTGTAACCTTAGGAGACAAGAAGAGAGCACAGTAGGTCAGGGAACAAACCAGGGTTAAGGATATCATATTTGAAATCAAGAAAAAGAAATGGACATGGGCCAGACATGCAGCATGTAGGCAGGATAACCGCTGGTCATTAAGGGTAACTGACTGGATTCCCAGAGAAGGCAAATGCATGAAGGGGAGACAGAAAGTTAGGTGGGCCTATGAGATTAAAAAGTTTGCGGGTATAGCGTGGCAACGGAAAGCACAAGACTGGGTTGATTGGCGGATCATGGGAGAGGCCTTTGTCCCACAGTGGGCGTAGTCAGGCTGATGATGATGGTACTTGAGGTTATCATAACTGGCCATACGAGTGCGTGAAGTCCCCCAAATTGATAATGTAGCCTGGTGTCATGCTAGTGTCAATGTCAGTAGGTGCACTATAAATATTGACTTTAATGCTAAAATCAAATATCCGATCAGCATTTCCAGAGCTTCATAATTCCTTACAGCAGTCTCTTTACACAGGGCATTTGTACAGTGGAAAGTCTGCTTTAAAATTATGTGTCAGTACCCCTTTAGCATCGCACCTTACCATATGTCAATGGCTGTTGTCTGGGTCTTGGCTTGAAGCAGCAGTTCTGGTGCACGATACCTGAGAAAATAGGAGGCCCAATTACAACACACAAACAGGGCAACAAAGCGATGGCAAAAAGCTGACAGTATAGGTTACATAGAGGCAATCGGAATAAATAGTCAATACACAAATATACCTTCATCAGCTGAAAAAGCCTGCAAGAGTTATATATATTCTTTTATTTGCCTCCTGTAAAGTGACAATACTCCCTCAAATGTTAGCTACAATTTGAAAAGAGATTAATATCACAACTGGTGTACCACTACTGCTTTAACTGTTGCAGGCCCTTAGCATAATGAAGGGCAACTACTACTAAAGAAATGCAGGTTTTTCTACCCTTCTTTTTTAACCATTGCAAGAAGGCTTCATTCTTAATATAAAGAGGCAGGAAAATGAGGAAAAAAAGAGATCACATAACAGGAGTAGGGCTTATCAAGTTTGCACCTTAACATGTAAGGTGGTGCATATCTAAGCTTGAAGACATGGACTTGATTCACTGCCCTGATGGCTGCATTTTGATAGGCCTAAATGCAAAGAACATTTGTATACTTTGATTTAGGTGAACACTAAAGAGACACAGGTGGTGGAAATTAGTCCATAAGTTCACTATGGCGTGCCTCAAAATCATATCATGATTTTGGCAAGTAAAACCTCAGCAATTATTATTATATTACTTCTACATCCTACAACATTATTGCAAAAATTGTACAAGACACAACAAAATGACAGCATAAATATTACTTTGGAGTGAGTGTTAAAATCTAGCCACAGTGAAGACAATGACAGTAGGAAAGATGTTGCTAGGATACAAGACAAAATGTACTCATCGCTCAACTTATAAAAGAACTCACCAAAGTGTAACTACACGTGGTGTCATAGGCTTCACAGGGAGGCCATACTTTCTGGCAAGCCCAAAATCGGCTAAAAAAATATTTAAAAGCAGCATAAACATTTTGCAGGACTAACAAACAGTGGCAAATAAACAATTACATAATTACTCCTAATAGCACAAAGCAAGGTTATATTTTTGTAGCCATTAAGTACCCCAAAATATAAGCACCACAAAATGGACAAAGGACTCTCAGAGAACCCCATGGAATGTATTAATACTAACCTAACGCAGTGTAAATTGATGGAATTCTGGAATCAACACCACGCACACGTGCCATGGGTATACAAAGAGTAAAGGTGGTGGGGGAGGAGAAAAACTAAAAAAAAATCGAATTGGAGTGCATGATAAAAACTATTCCAATTTTTATTTTTTTAATAATGAAAAACCACTCCTGACTAATATTGTTATTTTCTTTTCCTTTATATTATTATTATTATTATTATTATTATTATTATTATTATTATTTCATAGTATACTTCTAGACATCTATTAGAAACTGTATTCTAACTTCTACAAACATGCCAATGAAATCAGGGCACAAAACTAGAGGCAGAACAATGAACCGGAAATGAGCTCACTGATTAAGTAATAACACAAGATGCCACTAATCTTCCCTGACACTGACTCAATCAGAAATTTGGTCCATGCAAAACATTTCCAAAAATAGTGGGATCTTCAAAACCACAGTACATAGTAAAATCAGGAAAGCTGGGGTCATTCCACAAAATTTTTACCTTTATATTTGAACATACATGAGAGAACTTGCATGTGAAATTGTATAGAGCAGAGAAAGCAAAGGACTTCCATATCTACTGATTCCTGACAAAATGAGCCATGTCGCTACAAGGCCAGTCAACACATTTCAAGTGTCCATCTTGGCCCCTCATCATTCCTGTATACAAAGATGGCTCTGAGCAAGTGTGAAGATCAGAAAATGCCGATATTTTATTTTGGAATTAAAGTCAATTTTCACATCACGCGTGCGCTGGCATCACCACTAGCAAGATGCCAGACTGCAGTGCCGATTCTGGTAACTTCAGGCACCAGTATGGCTAGTTGTTATGATGTCAGACACCAATACATACTACAGGCCACTTCAGCATCACCAATGCAACCAGAGCAGTGAAGCAGCCATCAAAATGTCACAATATCGTGCTTGAGCATGTGACAAGAAGCTCATATGTAGTCATGGCACCAAAGCACAGAAGGAACTGAAACTAGCTTTTAAAAACATGCAATCAATTTTTTTAAGGGCTCACTCGCACTTACCAGTACTTTTTTCTAAGCTCTTTAGGGCTTGGCCTTTCATTCAATGCAAGAAAACGACAACCGGAAGTTTTTGTTTCTATACCGTTTTAGAGGCCCTGCAACACTTCTCCAAATATCCATAAAATGAAATTACTAAAGAAGCTCATTGCCTCACGAATTCACCGGCACAAAAATTTTCAGTATCTGTCCAGTACGAGTAGAATTACAAAGATTTGCTGCACACTGCAATTGCATTCTCTCTTCTCTTGTCCTGACGAAAGTGCTGGAAGCTAAGTATGGAGGGATGGCACGGCGGAAGAAAATACGTCATGTGCACCTCATGACCTCCAGCCCCCTTTCTCTCTCTTTCTTTTTTTTTTTTCGAATGCACAGCTTTTCAGTGCGATCGTACATGAATGCGTGGACAAGCCGCAGCATCCCACAGCAGCCTCAGTAACAGCCAAGCACGCCAGGCTCAAATATGCTAATGGCTGATACTTGACCCGTGACCACATGGTGTAAACAACAGGTGGAGGAATCCAGACCCTCCTTGTGTTCAGGTGGGGGGGGGGGGGGTGACACTCCTTGCAAGTGTCCTCCCTTGAGATATAGCTTTAGAAAGTCATCTATTTGAATTACTTGACAGTTAACTATAGCACACTTAGCTTTTCCAACAGGCTGACTATTTTTAAGCGCGTAGCTGCGCTCAATCTCCTTCAGCTATGTGAGACTATGAATATCGCATAAAGCCGCTCAACCAGCACAAAGAAGATCGAATAGAACAATGCAATTACTCGAGCTCGGACCCCATGCTCATTTTTAAAATTTAGATTTCAAAGCAGGATTTAATTCTCATGTACAGTAGACTCCCATTAAATGGAACTTGAAGGGACCATGAAAATTTCTTTCATCTCACAGGAGTTCCTTTTACTGAGAGGATAAGGCTACAAAGTATCAGTAGGAAACAAATCGTGCTGCATGCAGTTGTTCTGTTTAAGCATCAGTTCTCTTTAACAGATTTACGTTTACTGAAGTCTAATGTACTAAAAATACAACCCGCATTAAAAAAAAAATAAGGCTGTTATGGCCTGGTTTGATCCCCCTTCTAATTTTTCTGTATTATGCCACTGACCGTGCCGCAGTGATTTTTGAGCCTGTAGCGTCATTTTTCGTGAAGAGAAAGCGATTTTTAGCTGACTGAGAATTTACTGTAAATTACAGGCCGCATGCTGTGGTATAATATTTGGCTCGTGTAATCTCGGGAGCCTCGATTATCGATCAACAGCGTTTTCTGACGATTTTCAAAAAGTGTTGCAGAGCTCCTAAGGGTTAAAAATAGTCATTAACTGCATAGTTGATACATATGATGGTTGCACATGCTCATCCATGATATCATACTAAATGAAATATGCTTGCTTTATTACTAGCGTCAAAATACTACACAAAAACAAGCAAAAGTAACCATTATTAATAATAAAGAAACAAAAACAAAAGCTAGCACTGCTGTAAAAACACATAAATGAAAATAAACTTGAAAAAAAGAATAACAGGTGTGATCTTTCGTAAAGTAACATTCAAATAATAAATAATGACCAGCTATCACAAAACAATATTGCATCACACACACTTACACATTCTCACATAAATGCCGAAAAACGAACAAAATTCTTGAGAGATAAAAACCATGACTGCTAAACCTTAATTAAGAAATTTGCTTAAAGCTCAATGACCAATATTATTTTAAGTTGTGCATTCAAATCAGTAGACTACAAAAGAGAACTACACTAAAAAGAATTCCAGTAACAAAAATTAATAAAAAAAGGCAGGGGGGCATGACCAACTGACCAATTTTTAGGCAGCCTTTGTCAGTCAGCAGGAGGTTTGAGACTTTTAAATCCCTGAAATAGGTAAAGTCAAAAATAAGCAAAAGGGATATCATGCTTTTATGAAAAGCAGTGATTTCCAGTGGAGATCTAAAAACAGTCAGTTTTTTCTTTCTGATAAAGAAACTACCAAACGTGATGTCACAGACAAACATACCCACAAATATCGCCATTTTTGTGCTTACAAGACACAGGATGTCAACTTTGTTGAGCAAGATTTATGTCTCAGTATGGAATTTGACAAAAGGTCTAATATCGACATGGAGCACCAATGGATGCAAAAGCAACCAATTATGACAGGCATTACTGCCCCCCACAGCATTACACCATACTTCAATGTTTATGAAGCAGGTAAATATAAATTAACAATAAATAGCGAAACACTGTCAAGCATTAGACAAAATGAGAAAGAGAGAGAAATGATCTCACACTGTATACTTTAGCCTTAAAAAATTCCAAACATGTCAGCATAGATGAAACTATACGTGCTTGCGACATGACAATGCATATTTATTTAAAAGAGACAGGATATTGTAAATCAGTTCTATGGTATTCCGCAATGTGTCAGATTTTGACTGAACTAATATTATTACCACAAGCCCACAACGTACATGAACAACGAGGATGGCAGAATAAAATATCAGAAGGGTTATAAAAAAATTGTTCACTGATTCTACACTGGGTATTTTCTGACCTTGAAAGATACACAGATGCAGCGCGAGGTTCATAGAAGCTCACACCAGTTGGTTAATTCATGCGCTTGACTGTCACTGCCATCTCAAACACTCCTATTCAACACTGAGAAAGCCACGCATGCGAGCACCACTGAAAGCACTGTTACATCATACTCCCAGCATGCCAACGAGCCTACACCATTAGCAGTAGCTCAAACACTGATCACTGGCTCGGCCGCTTGCCTACGGTTTCAGTTATGACAATTTACAGCACAGGCTATAGTGCTGAGGTGCTTTACTCTTGTGAGCCGCTGTGCAGGCATAAAGCAATAAACATGAAAAGCAAGCAGCTGCTAAGCACAACATGTATCATTATTTCTTGGTACAACTTGCCCAGCACTTGTACCCTTGTGCTAGCCGTGATGATGCCACGTTATGTAGGAAGACCATTGATCTATAAATTTGGTCACCTGGGGCAATACACTCGATTGTACATATTTATAAATATCTGTAGGAATATCTATGGGAACTTACAGACAATGATGTCAAGAGGAGTATAGGAAATGTTATTAGAGGTAATGGTAATGTAAATGTGAAGAAAGAAAAGTGAACGAAAAGATAACTCGCCACTGGCAGAATCCAAACGCGGCCTTCGAATAACACCACTGAGAATCTCTACCACTGAGAAGGTGGTGGTCATCGCCCCGTCCACTTTATAGGGTATATATGTGCATTTAAACGTGAGAGCGTCAGTCAGCGCCACTTGCTGCCATTCGGGTGAGCTAATATTGTGTCTAACAAAAGAAATGAGCCCTTGAAGGAGCCCTGCAACACTTTTTGAGCATGGTCATAAAACGCTACCGATCGGTAGTAGAGGCTCCCGACAACACGCGAGCCAAATATTATAGCGCAGCACGCAGCTTGGAATTCACACTAAATCATAAGTCAGCTAAAAATTGCTTTCTCATCTCTTAAATGACAGAAGACGCCGAAAATCACTTGTAGAATGCCCATATATCAGCCATTGGCTGATTTGAACATGGCACACACGGTCGTTACAGGGACCGCCACGAAAGGCCGCAACTTGTCAATGCGTGCGCGGGCGCATTTGAAGAAAAAAGTGCTTAACGTCACGAGGCGCGCGCAACGTATTTTCATTGTCCCTGCCATCCCTCCCTGCTTAGCTTCCAGCACTTTCGTCAGGACGAGAAAAGAGAGAATGCAATTGCAGCTTGCGACAAATATCCACTTGCACTGGATGGATTCTTAAAATTTTTTGCGGCATTGAATTCGAGAGGCAATGGGCTCTTCCAGTAAATTCACTCAATGGTTACTTGAAAAGTGTTTCAGGGCCCCTTTAAATTTATAATTTCCTGAAAAGTGTTTCAGGGTCCATTTAAATTTACAATTTCCTTCACTCTAAGGATAGCTGTACTTCTGTGTGTCCTGAAGCCATAGGTCGCCAAAAAGTTAGAGCTCACTCAAACTTGCTCAAAAAATATATTTTGCTCTAAGAAATATATTCACTCGGATTCCTACCTCTTGTCAACTCACTTGGACTCAATCACCAAATCTGCCTCAACCGGACTCATTCAGATTCAATGACCAAATAAAATTTGTTTCTCAATCAGACTGACTTGGACTCAAACTAGCAGCTTGACCTGAATCAGAGTGAGTCAAGTAAGTAGACTTACGAGTCCATTAGCGTAAAATGAGATTTTTCGATAACGATGTCAATGCTATTTAACGCCAATATCTCACATAATCGGAGCTCTACGACAGCCTTTTGATCTTGTACCTTCACATACAAGTTATCAGTGATTGCAATCAAGTAAGGACATTTTTATTGAAAGACATGACTCTCATAAAATATTTTTATTGAGATCTTCCCAGGAAAGAGATTGTGGACACAAGACATCCCACCCATTTCTTTCCGTAACTCATGCCTCTTGTCGATAAGTATTGAGCTAGCATACAAATAATAGTTCGTTCAAATATGAGTGAGTAGACGTGGGTATAGACTTGAGCAGACATAAGGCTGATAGTAATGTTGAAGATGAGTAGATAGGTCTATAGGTCGGCAAAAACGTAAAGCTCACTCAAACTTACTGAAGAAATATATATTGTGCTAAGGGCTCACTTGAACACTGCAAAGCTTTCTTCACCCGCACTCACTCAGACTCACAATTTTCACAAACAAACTCAAACTCGCCAGATTATTACTCACTTGAACTTGCTCAGACTCAAACTGAAGGCTCAATTTGAGTTTAAATGTGCCACTTTATGAGTCTGTCGAAGTATAATTAGCTTTGTCAACTATGGAGTCAATGCATTTGATACCAATATCTCATATAAGCAGTGGACAATGGAGCCCCTTTTAATCTCGTACTTTCAAATACGAGTTATCAGCAGTTTCAATGTAGTAAAGACAGTTATATTGAAAGAAACGACTTAAGAGATTTTTATCAAGAACCACCTGTGTAAGACTGTGCGGAGAAGAAAGGCGAAGGCACCCCCCCCCCCCAACACACACTCTAACTCAAGCTATGATCAATAAATACTGAGTTGGCACACAAACACGAGTGCACTGAAGTATGTGTGAGAAGATGTGTGTAAATGCGAGTCAAAATAGGGCTGATAGCAGTGCTGAAGTTGAGCACATAGAGCAATAGGTCAGCAAAGAAAAGTAGAGCTCTCTCAGACTCGATCAAGAAATATATTTCCGTTTAAGGCTCTCTCAAACTCTGATCCACCAAAATTTTTCTCGCCCAGACTCAGTAAAAACTTATTTCTCGAATTAACTCACTCAAATTCAAATTCACGACCATATTTACTCACCCGGACTCAGAGTCACGGTTGGACACGAGTCTGAGTGAGTCGGCTCATGAGTGAGTTTGCCAACATATGCCTCTTACTGAAAGCAAGCTAACCTATACATTCCCCTATAACTATAACTGGCACCTCTGCATGCTGTGACTAATATTCCTAGTCAATAAGGGGCCATTATTGCAGACTATGTTAAAAGGACCCTAAATGATTTTGGGAGTTTTGTACAAACATATTGGGCCGGTAGACCAAGTCTCAAGGGTTATTTAGAGACTGATGTGAGCTCTTCAAGTAAATTGTATAAATTATTACAATGCTTTAAAGCTTAAAATCACTACAGATTCGTGCAGATTGTTGGGACTCGGCCAAACGCCCATTCACAGAGCGACATGCTCTTGGCCAGAGCACATCAGCAGCCATGGCGACGTGGCTGCTGATCTGATTGGCTGTCATGGGCTATAGAATGCGTGGAAGTAAGATTGGCTGGTAGGGTGGCAGCACTTGTCGGAGCAGATATGAACCACTCGGCGATCTTTGTCTCTGTTGCCAGATGGCATGCGTGCTGCCGGGCGCACTATGTGATGGCCTCTGAGACGGCACACATGTCGCGTATGATTTCGGAGGTCCAGACTAGTTAAAGTTCAAATTGTTGAGTGCACTCATAAGGGATCTGCGATTTCCAGCAATGCCAGTGCTTCATGAGTTGAGGCCAGGCAGAGGTGAGGAGGAGGGCATGATAGTATAATAATCTATAGCGGCCTTGGTACACAGCGTGTCACTAAACTTGTGGCACGAATGGTTTGACGATGCTCTAGCCTAAAAGCTGACAAAACTTCAAAAAACCGTTTCATGGTCCCATTAAAGCCATAATAGATCAAACATCTAGCCAAACTTCTCTAGAATATTTCAATGAAAGTGAGTACACAAACTTGTCTGAGGGGAATTTTCCAAAGAGAATGCACTTGCTCACACTGTCCGCATAATGTTGAAACCCTTTACAGTGATGGAAGCAGCCAAAGGTGCTTTGGATCATCTCTGGGAACAGCAAATTTGGCACTTCCAGTGATGTGATTGACTTGAGCTGTTTTGGAGCATATTTTGGAGCAGCAAAAAGTGCATTTTGGAGCAGAAAAACATTAGTTTGGAGCGGGAAAAACTACTTCTGGAGCAACCAAAAATGCATTTTGGAGAAGCTTAAGGGTCACTGCCAAGTGGGACACTGACCGTGTGAAGCAAAACAGTGAACTAAAGAGGAACGCTTTTGAATTAAGAAGTTCTGTGCAATTATGGATGTTTGGAGATGTTTGCATAACATCACAGAATATTAACCCAAACTAATTTTAAACCTTCCAGTGCATTTTTTTTAAACGAGATTCAAACAACTATGAAATGGTGCTGCATTCTGGCAGCCGAAATAATGTAGGAGAGCAGTTATTATTGAAGAACAAAAAAATCACTATGGAATTTTTCATTGAAGACTAGCAATACTGTTTTTTTTAATTGCAGAAGAGCTGTTGTCTAGTTGGTTGTCTTCTTGCCTGACATCTTGTCAAGAGCTGCAGAGAGTTATGTTTTTCTGTCACCGAGCAAGTACTGGGACCACAGATGCGCTGGAGTCTCGATTCAGTATGTGGTGTGAGCACGGCGCTCGCCCAAAGAGCTTCAGTTTTTAGGGGTCGTGGAAACACTAATCTATGAGCCTTTCATTGTCTCAGAACATTCATAGATGCTCACGGCGATATTATTCACGCCTAAATCACATCACAAAAGCTTATTGACATCACTCTATATAACCGTGAAGTGCGCGGCTGCGTGGACAGTGCAGCCAGCGTGTGATGCACTTGGCATTCGATGACGATACGCGAAATGTGCAGCTACGATGGTATTGCATTTTCATGTGCTGACACGCGAAACTACTAGTCGCTCTTCCAAGCAATCTTGGCAGTGGAGTGGGGGGGGGGTGGGGGGGGGGGGCTTGACTGTGGGGTTTACTGCCGATGCATAAAATGCCTGTCCACGATTTCGAGGAGCTAGCGAGTGATGTGCTTCACTGCCTGCGAAGAAGCTTTTTTCCATGAGTGCGCTAGTTCGTCGTTCTCGCTCGCAAAGTAAGTTCGTCTCACCAGCTGAGTTAGGCGTAAAGACAACTTCTGCGAAGCGCCACGCTCGTAGACCGCGCGCCCGCTTGTAGTAAATCTGCCTGAGCATCTGCTTACAGTTCCCTACTAAAGCGTAATTATCCACGTCCTCGCTACGCACATGCAGCAGACGACGATCTCCAGGAGCGAGCATCGGGCCAATGGCGAGGCGAGCTGGGACAACATGGCAGCCACAGCCAATCAGGGGCCTCGAAACGGCCTTCAAACATTTGCTTTCTGTGTGCTTGTTTTCAAAGGAGATAGCCATTTTGAAGCGAGAAATTTGAACACAGAGAAATACTCTTTCCGATGAGCCTAAGAAGCTGGCTCCCGGCGGCACCATCGCAAAGTTAGTTTTTTGAAAATTGCTGTTTTTTCACAATATCTAGAAATATTTTCGCTATTCAGGAGGGTAAAACAAACTTTCCGAAACACTTCTGCACGGTTTTCAGGGTAGATATCTTGAAATCGAATAGAAAAAGGGTTCCAGAAACTGAAAACTTAATATTAAAAAAATTATTTTTTTGCCATTTCTCGATACGAAAGACGCGTCCCCCCTTAATACTTGTGCTAAGTCTGGGTTGACCTTTGACAGTTAGTTACAAAGAAGCTTTAAACAGGTTCTCTAGTTCACTGCCCTTCTAGCTTTCAGCTGTTTCGCGCTGCTTTCTTCTATCCACCTGCCAAACAAGATTAGCTCGGAGCCTCAGACACCGGCTTGCGGCAAGCCGTTCCATTCAAGGTACATTTTCGGGGGGTCACGCTAACTTATACCAGTCTGAGGACAATTGCCTACGCCTCCCAATAAATCAGCATCCGGCCATACCCCCCCCCCCCCTCCCCACAGCGGGACACTCATTTTCCTCCCACGTAGCAACTTTGGAAAGTCACAGGCCACGACTAACGGCGTGTTGTCGCCGGCGACATGCTGCGCCTGTTTTTTCGATAGTATTTAGTAATTAGGCACAGTTTTGGCACAGAAAGGAGAAAATGTAGCAGGATGTAGCAGGTTTCCCGTCTTGGCGCAACTATCGCATCACTGCACTTGGGAGCAGGCTCGAGCAAGAACTGTCCATCGAGGAACAGAAGATATGCATTTCTAAGCAGTTTCATGAAGCACGAACTAGTGAAACAGAGGCAGCTAAAGAATGAATATCCTTCATTTGAATGTTACATCGCATACTTATTTGCACAGGTTGGGTCATGAATATTAAAAGCCTTTTGTGAAACAACTGGCGCATCACCCAGGACTAATACATAAGCTTATTCAGACTACTGCTTCGAGAGCTCTACAACAGAGGTACAGACAAACATACTGACCTGTGAACAATGAAATTTTTATGCAGGTACTGAAGACCTTTGAACAGCTGCATCATGATACACTTCACCTAAAAGGTGGAAGAGAAAGCAGAGCGAATAAGAAATTTCAAGCTCTGCACATTTTTACAACCTATGTGCAGAAACTAAGAAAGTGATTAAAAATTTCAAGGTGCAAAAGAAGTCTAAGCAACTCGCAATGCCTGTACCTCTTTCCAAAAAGTCAGAAACAAATCACTCTAAGTTAACCTCTAATGTGTTTTTGCAGGTATACACAAAAAAAAAACCGCCTTAGTTTGCCGATAGCAGGCAGACACTTCAGTATCTTAAAACAAAGGTTGTCAGAGTTGCAGACTTTGGTGGCGGTGCCCCTGTATGTCAAAAAAATCAAGTAACTTCAGTGTACAGAAATGTAGCCCTCAAAGGTGTGCCAGTCGCATGTGTATTTGTATGCACTGTTTTCAAATAACTCTCTCTCTGGAGTGTGGGTTTGACATCAATATTCTATTTCAGATATGGCAATCTGATCTTTTATCGAGATAACTAGTAATTTCACATTGCCCTCCATTGTTGCCAGGGTATAAATGCATGACCAGTGACCAGCACCAGAATGCGAGTAATATGGCACAATGCCAACAAGAGGCATAATGCACGGCACCTGCAATTAGAATGATGCATCATCAAGTGGCTGCCACCACATCTTAAAACTTTTGATGAAAGGAACAAAAAAAATTGTTAGCACTTTTGAAGAGAAAAATGTATCATAGTTTGAACATGATGTGTCCCTGTAACATAGACCGAATGGCTTACCAAGTAAATACCAGCTGAAGGGAAAATGCGATATGCTTCTGCTGCAGAAACTACAAAACCAGCAGTCAACTTTTCTAGCATCAGCTTTATGCCATTGTCAGCTTTGTTTTTTGTTATCAACTCTGCCAAAGTGGTGTTTCTTTCTCCTTCATTGTACTACAACAATATCTTGTCAGCAATATAAACCAGTGAAAAGCTGCTGTTTTATGGTGAGGTTAAATAATTGAGCCCAAAAGAACGTTGAGGACTTAATAAAGGACCTCTCTAATACAGTCCACTAATGCATGTTTTCGCTGCCTGACGACTGCTTTAAGACATTAAAATATAAAATTGGATCCCCTGGTTTACCACCACTTCAGTGACACTCTTGAGTGCCTTGGAAAGAGTGGCTATAGTTCAGCGTCCAACACTTCCATCCCACAGATGACCAACTTCTGCACAACTAGATAGATACCATCAACCACGCTAAAGCTGACATGATTCCAGCATTTGGAAGCTGAAATACACAAGGTGTATTTCAGCTTCAAACAACTTTTAGCTCACTTGACGCATTATTTTAGCAATGTGCGAGTGACCCTCTAAACTTATGTAAACGCAATACTGACTTTTATGCTCTATATTCATGGAGATTAGAAAGGCAGTACATCTGGTACACAGCATGAACACATACCTCAACCCTTGAGTTGCAGATAAATATTTTGTATTACAATTTTATTTTCAACATTAAAAAATAATCTTTGCATGTGCAAAGCCCCAAGCTCTTCTTGCATTTCACTGCAATTCAGTCTCGGTTCTTTTGTATTTTTGACAACTTGAATATGGCAAATCTTACATTATGCTAAGTTGAGTGTTGTTAAAGGACCAGTTAACAACCTCCCAGTCCAAAATTTGTAATGAAGAAATCACTAAAGAATTTGTACAAAGTGAATATTCTGCTGCAATAACTTTGCGAATTACAATGTATCATGAAAGTTATGGGGCACAAATCTACCCACGTAGGCTGGTTTCGGAATCTCGTTCATCCTTCCCACTGTTCTCGTAGAGGGGAAGGATATGTGTACACCTCTGTCACGACTATGCCCACTCTGTCAACGTAACGTGACATCAGCGATTATGACATCGACATGCAGTCAACGAGCGAGCAAGGCTTCCCCCACATGTGCACATGTCACAGCGGCGCGGGGAAAAACTGCATTGCAAGAAGTATGAGGCACTGGTGAAGTATGCACCCTTCACCTAGCAATGAAGTAGCAAGACCCCTTTTTGTCTCCAAGGCTTCTGTTCTGGCAATACCAGTTGAACTGACAATCTTGGGCTCTACAAAATGGCAGTGCGCAGCACTGGAAGATAACAATGTGGCGTACGCTGCCAAAACTGCATCCCCACATGGCTATGGCGTCATTTCATAGTGCAAATAACCAATCGACAAGCTCAGTGGTACGAAATGTCGCCCACAGCCAAGGTTTTGTCACTGTGCGTACAAGGAGGATTGGTCAGGCATAGGATAGAAGTGCAGAAATAGTTTTTCAAAATAAAGGGCCTGCGTGTGCACTGTAGTATTCACAAGATGTGACCACCGTGGCCTACTGTATAAATTAGGAAGCTTGTTTGGGAGGTGCAGAAAAATAATTGATTGATTGATTTGTGGGGCTTAACGTCCCAAAACTACCATTTGATTATGAGAGACGCCGTAGTGGAGGTCTCCGGAAATTTTGACCACCTGGGGTTCTTCAACGTGCACCCAAATCTGAGTACACGGGCCTGTACATTGGCCCTTCAAGAACTGCCTGCAGCAACACTTTTTGAAGAAAGTTGTTTTTTTTTTTTTTGTAGATAAATCCATGCAAAAAAAAAAAGAGCTTGCTCACACAAATACAACATTCTTACAGTGTTGTAAGTCTGGCCGCGTACAAGAGGATGAAACTAATCAACTGTACAGTTCATATTGGTACAAGGCAGAGACGAATCACAAAGAAGGTCTGAAGAACACGAGCGCTGACTGACACCTGATACCTTTATTCAAGCGAAACTGAAAAGCAAAGGGAAGAAAAAACGAAACATGTGCGTGCAGCCTATGCAAGCGAGAAAAAACAACATATGCAACGTCATTACGTTTTTTCAAATATGTCAGCTCACAATCCAGTACTGCAATTGGCGATGCGCTAACACACTTATCACCATTTTTGCTAATAGCAAAGGTTCCGCTTTTTTTCTGATGCGGGATTCAGTGTGCCAGAAAACAATGGTCGTGCAGCAAAATTCTGGGGCACACCCGCAGAGCAATCAGTTGTCAGGCAGCACTCGTGTTGCCCAGACCTTTGTGATTCGTCTCTGCGCTGTTTCACTATGAATACCAGCCAAACTAGCCCAACTCACTTTTGCTGAACTGTACAGGTTTTGTCGAGAAAAGAGCTGCCAACGCTCAATGCTGACATTTTTAATAAATTCCAGCGAATCAGTCTCGCTTACAGAGAAGTTGCTTTTTGATAAATGATATAGCTATATTGCTCAGTTACCAATCAAAGCATTAAGAATGAGCATGTTTTACAACGAAAATGAATTTTGATGTAGGCTCTTATCTTGCTACATATACATGGCAGATTACAGTGAAAATTTGGACCACCAGAGATTTTTTAACATGCACCTAAATCAAATGCCAAACTCCACTGGTTGATTTAAACATGTTTTAATTTTCCCCTCGGTGGCAGAGAAATTAAATTTCACTGCTTGCTCAATCTGAAGCAATTTTGTGTACTAAAAAGGTTCTACAACAAAGCCCTCTTTGTTGGTATGCTTAGCACACAGATTTTAATGGAAGTTTTCAATGACGTAATGTCATTCGTTTCTGGACTGGCCAAGTAACTCAGCTGTTTTCATAACTATGAGAGGTGTTGCCCGATATCCCCCCGCAGTTATTCAAATTCCTGAAATTAGTCATTTACCCTGGCAGCACTGCTAGGTACCAGAGTGCAGGTCTGCCCCTTGCTTGATTGCTGACATACATATGTGCTAAAGGCAGTAAAAAAACTACTTTTCGAGACACAGTGCACATTTTACCGGCTGTAGTTAAAACAGTGCCACATGACAGAAGAGTGCAAAGGAGTGCATTTAGCAAGTGGCTCAATGTGCGACCACTTTTGGAAAGCTCTGCAATGAAGCATGCTTAATTTTACCTGATTGATATGGATTGGGCTTCTGTATAACGTATTTTGTCGCTCAGCTACGGATTTATAATCTTGCTTGAAATCAACCAGTGGAATTTCGTCTCAGTATGTGAGCATCGTATCTCCATCCGAATGCAGCTGCCACTGTCAGGACTGATCACACATCTAGCATCTTTGTGGCACAATGCCACAGCTTCCAAGCAATGGCAGCAGATGCCACATTGATGACAGTGCAGACAGTTTTGTCATGCAAGTTTCTCTCCGAAAAAATAAATCTTAAGAATTTGAGTATGTGTGCTGCTAAACCTATAATGCAAAGAGGTATGAGAGCAATAACAATGGGTTACTCGTCTGGTACTGCTACTACTACTAATATATTTTTTCATAAGTACAGCCATCTGTACACACAACAACTGCACTGCAGGACTTGTTAAAGCTGCAGACAGATTTCAATGTATGAGAATAAAAGATTTTAACGCGCCCCGATGTGACAACTTGATAATGTTCACAGTACCTGTGACTCGGAAAATGGACTTTGCATATTGTCCAACAAGCTGGCCAGGTCTTGCTCGCAGTATTCCATCACGAGAAAAATGCTGAAACAGCACAATGAAATACATAAATTCCACAAACATGTTGAACGAAATGTGAGAGATATCGGCAAGGCCAACGAAGCGAAGGTAGAAAAAAACTTGCCTGTCCAAGCTTTTGCCAACAGCAACTTCTTTCAGGTTAACAATATTTTGGTGCTGAATACTGAGCAAGAGGTTGATTTCCCGCAACCCACTGACAGGAATGCCTGCGAAAGATTTCACCGGCTCAAGCAAGCAATGCTTGCAAACAGGCGAATACCATATCAAGCTGCGACAGAAAATAATGTTGGTATTCACCATCTTTTTCCTGCTCCATTCGCACTTTCTTCATTGCAACAATTTCTTGAGTCTTCAAGTCCTGCGCCCTATCTGCAAAAAAAAAAAAAAGCAATAAAACGTGGCAACCTGAAGGCTAGCCGCTGAAACAAGACCAAACGCGCGAAACTTGCATGGTGCACTTACAGACAATTCCATATGTGCCTTCTCCAATCCTGTTAAGTTTCTCGAACTCTGTAACTAACCGGCATCGACCTGGCTGTAACAAAAGAAGGGGTAGATTGTTATTTTTCAAACTAGCATGATGCGCGCCGCGTCAATGATGACTTTAGTATGTCGCTAAGTGAAGAACGGCGGAACGACTCAAACGATAGGCGAAACTTACAATGTCCTTTTCCGGTATTTCAGAACGCTTTCCAGTCGCAAATGACGATATCGCAACGCGTTTCTCGGGCGCTGGTTGATTTATGCCGGCTTCCATGATCACCGCTTAACAAATCATTAACAGAAGTACAAAAGTGCCAGCACTTCAATATGGATTCGACTTGGATTAGACTGGATCATGACTGGATCGAACTTCTGCTAAAATTTGAAAAAAAAAAACACAAATTGGGTTATTTGGTTTTTCGCCAAAAATAGTAAATAAAAAACAGCTAGTATTATATTTCAAATTTTTTTCGTTCTGTGGTACCACATCGTTTGTGGTGATCCTGCTCTGCCGCGTGGCATCACAGCTACTGTGCATTGCCTTAGGGGAGACCCGCTCAAGTTTGCCCGGCGACGCCAGCGCTTGCCTTTCCCCTACCAGAAAAAGCGCACAACAGTAGCGTCTTCCGCATGACCTACTACACTCCTGACCTGTTCAGATAGCGGGGTTCCTATGGGAGCGCGTGTCCCCGCTCTCGTTCAATCGCTCGCCGTAGGTGGCGCTACCTATAACCTGTTCGTCTGCTACTGTGCGGCCGGCAGGAGGGCGACGGACTGATACCATGCGTCTGCTTCTGTGACAAACTGCCTATACGTGTGATTGTTTTTTGCTGAAAAGGCTAACGTGTGCTATGTGTTACATTTTAGTAGTTAGGCTATACTGGTTGATTGACTTCTAAAGCTGTATATTTGCGTAGAAATGTCTTGCTGCATGGTTGTTTTTGCCATTCCAGCCTAAAAAAACTTCAATTTAGTATTCATAAAGCTTTTGACTAATAATGTACTCATTGGTAATAGAATATCAAACTGATTTTAGGTTGTTTAGGACGCGTCAGGTGAAACGCAGTGCCCCTGTTGAGCACTTACCTTGGACACTCGCCCTGGACAGGTGTTACACTTGTAGTCAATTGATAGAAGAGAATAATGCACATACGCCCACGGACGCATATCAAGGAGAGACACAGGAATTGAAGCTTTTTCATATCATTTTTCATATCATATTTCATATCATTAATTTTTTTATGGATTTCGGCGGCATTTGTTGAGGCAGCCTTCGGGAAGGGTGCTCGAACCCCTCGCAACCCACCGCTACGCATTTTTACATAATTTACAGATTTCGTATATTTACTTTTTTCTTGTGTGCTATATTTAAATTTCTTGGCACTATTTGTGGAGCCTGCCATATTAGCCGCGGTACTTTAAAAAGCTTTCATGTTTTTTAGCTCAGTGAATTAGCATAACACACGGAAATAAAGTTTACTAAAGCACCCTGGTGCTTCTTGCTAGCTTGCAACTCGTTCTGAATTGAAACGACTCTCAAAAACACAAGACTCACCTTTTCTTCCAATTGCCTCGATCCATTCTTCCCGTATGTCTGTGGCAGGAAACTCGTGAAAACTTACTTTACTTTGTTTGCCTTGTTCCGATTTGCAATATGGCACGCAGCAATACACCATACTTACATTTGAGGTGTCAGCTCATCTAAAAAAAAAACTGCACGCGGCCACTATTAGAGCTGACTACTGCAGCTATCTGCCGTCTGCAAGTTTCTGCACACGACCTACTGTGTTTCTGCGTATCTTCTGCAATTTGTGTATGCGTATCGTCTGGAACCATCGTGATTCAGTGTGAACAATGAATGCCTAACAATAGTTTTTTTATCTCGTTGGACTACGTTTTCATTCAAGAAATATTTTCATAATAAATTTTCCTTCATTTGTAGAAAAGTTCCCGTCTGCTTGCCACTGTGACCCTTTGTGTGCTTTTTTTACGGTTCTATTTCTGCTTCAAACGTCCACACGAATGCAGCCAACTCTGACGAGGAATCATATCGCTTTATTTGCCATATTTTACACATTCATACACAATTCATGCACAATAAGAACGATTTGCACTGCCACAGCGATGGCTGAAGCAGACGACAGCGAACAGGTGCTGCCTAGCGCCACGCCGCTCGTAGGTGACGGCCCTAGCGGCAGAAGGTATGAACTAGAACGTGGGCGCTGGAAGAGGTGCTCTCTGGGCAGGTCAGGAGTGTAGTAGGTCATGGTCTTCCGACCCTTCCGCTCCCTTTGGCTAGAGTGTACTAGAAGAACTTCTAGTACACTCTACTTTGGCTTCCACGCATTTGCGAAGCGCGCGCTGCACGTGAAACGTCCCTCGTTCCGCGATGTCACCCCAACAGAAAACTATTGCGGCGTCAACAGTCACAATAACCATGCAAACACGAAGGGGTCGACACCACCAGTGAAATTCTACCGATTCCCAAACGGATGGTACGGAACAAGCAGACGACAGGAATGGATTAAAGCAGTGCGCCGAAAAAAGTAAGTAAACAAGTTCTTCATAAAAATTAGCAGGCGCACAATGCATAAAAAAAAAAACAGGTGTTAATTTCGGCGTCACCGTTCCTTTAATCTATCGAATTATTGGAAAACGCACGTCCCCATCTTAAAAGTATAAATTCTCAACGTCCGTCTTTAAAGCGTTGTTAAAAATAGCGAAGAAATATTTTATGCTGGCACACGTGGTATTGGTGGTGTGTGGTTATATATATATTTTTTATATCTACGCAGTGCCGACGGAAGTGTGTGGTTGCCAAAAGCTTGGATAATGATCTGTAGCAGACATTTTGTGAGAAACTGCAAAAAATGACTCAAGTCTGCACCCGTCTTATGCGCCAACAGTGTTTCCAGCGGCTTACAAGAAACGGGCACCTCACGCGGAAACGGCGCAGAGGTATGATAGGCAGTGAAGCGCATAACTATCTATTCAATTTAAAGCATTTTCTGAGGACTCTTGATTCCTCGTTTCAAGCTCAGCGAGAATTCATTCCGCGTATGCGCAATTATCAAGTCAAGCGAAAATAGAAGGGTTTCGATCGAACATGGCACTTTAGCACCGTTACATTTTAAGGGTAAGATAGGAACGCGGTTAGTAACAAGCACATTACTTTTTTTGATAGTTTTAGTACAAAGTAAAACAGCACATTACTTTTTTTGATAGTTTTAGTAGAAAGTAAAAATGATTCAAGCAACAGACAAATGCAAAATGTTTAATCAATAAATTTTCATGCACAGCTATCTCCGTGAAGTTGTTGTATGAAGTGTTTCTGTGCACACAGATGGACACAATTGTAGTTTTTTTAATGGGGCATTTTGCCATCGTACATGTTTTTATAAAGTTTGATTTCGTATGCAGTACTTGTTTTATTTTGTGAACTAACAGGATCACGGAAACCGCGTCTACTCATTTTCAGACTTCTTGTACATTTTATACTTGAAGATGATAAAAAAAACTATTATTATCTGCCACACTACAGATATGCTCAATGATGATCACCGTACAATATCTGCATAAAAAAAAGTCCAACATATGAACGTTGTTGTGAACGGTACGATCTAATCTCTGCCACAACATTATTTTGCTTAGGTGGAAGCGTCATTCTGTGAGGGCAGCCGGATCAGCACAAAATTCTGTGAAGCAGGCTGTGCCACAAGGTATTGCTCAAGACAACCCAGCAATGCAAGATAAAGAAAACTCTGTTTTCCACGATGTCTATGACTCGCTTTCAAGCGATTTAGAATCGCTAGAGAGGCCAGCGATGCCATTACATTTGCCGCTGGAGATGCAACGCTCCCGCTTGAGTGGACACGACCACCACAACTATGAAAAAAAGAAAAAAATGCATTAGCCGTTGTTGCACGTTCGTTGGCAGATACAGTGAACTAGTTGTTACTGAGCGTGCAGGGACAGCCCGAACAACACGGTGCATTTTTGATACGTGACCAAGATAAAATGCCTTTATAGCAATGCGCTCTTTCTCTGCAGATTAGACACACACAAAAAAGTTTCTCTGTAAGCTGGGCGCTCATCGTGATGGTACGCACGCTGTTCGTAAACTCAATGTACCCGCGATGAGAACGGTGATAATGCAAGGAAAGACACGCGAGATAGATGTCCATTTTCGATGTGGGTCAGAAAGAAGCCCCAAATAGACCATTTAGTTCTGAAGTGCTGTGTATATACCGCACGATAACTTGGGTGGGTGCTAGTAAATTAAGGTATCCTACCTAATAGCAGTCGCAGCGCAAGAACCGCTTAACCTAAAGCACGAGAAGCGGCCTTACCCATGCATCCAGTAACAAATATAGTGCATAGTGCACTCAGTAAACCAAATAAAACAGGTATATAATTATGAACGTACAGAAAGTTTTATTCACCTCTAAAGCCGTAAACAGCGTCGTCTTTCACTTGCGAAACGCACTTCGCTCTGACGAGGACGGCGTCGTCTGCTACAACTTGCTTCGCTGCCCTTTTATGGAATGGCTGTCACGAAAAAAAAAAAAAAAATCCTCAATTGCGGCATCCTATTAAACCCGCTTAAGTTTGCCCGCGCGATGCGAGACTCTCAAAAACCCGTGCAGTGTGCGAGCAAAGCAACGCGTTCTCAAGCAGGTTGAATGGGACAGCGGAGGGGCCAACACTCGAGTAACCAGTTTTCTCACCACATTGACTGACAGCACCACGCTCCGCAGCGCCTCCCTCGGCGTGGGTCTCCTCTATTGGACCGCCTACTTGACCGGCACGCTCCCTGTCAAATTTCTTCTTACTTCACCCACGCGCTGTCGTTCTGCAGTAGCTCGTGGTGCACGTGCAGCTGTTATCATCACTATGGCTCCTAGGAAAATGGGATCGTTCTACTTTTTAATGCGAGAACTACAGAACGAGCGTAGAGAACGCAACTTCGCTTGCACACTAGAAACAGTCCGAGCAGAGGCTGGAGAGATGTGGAAGGTATGCCGGCACTTTTCTCTATACCCGCGGATTTCGCGTTTTCTATATGTCTTGCCGATGGCATTGTTCACACGAAGGGTTTGTTCATTGCGCGTCAAACAGAACGGCATTGTCCGCGACGTTG